CCCCAAAACCCCAAAACCCCAAAACCCCAAAGCCCCAAAACCCCAAAACCCCAAAACCCCAATTTTCAACAATACAATTGAAAATTAACTGAAAGTATTCATACATTCCAGCATATCTTCGTATACAGTTCCTTCTTTCTTTTCAAGCTCCATATCTTTTTGCTTTTCTCTGGAGTCCATTGTCTTTCGTCTTTTCATGGCTTGGTAAGCCTTTTTAGAAACCACATCATCTATTATGGTTAAATTTACTTTACCTATGAAATCAATATCATGGCTGAGCCATTCTTTGGATCCTTGAGGTCCCATGACTTCCATGCATAACTTATCCAGATAGTGGAATTCCTTCTCTTGGTTTCTCATTTTCAGTTCGTTTTTATAGATTTTCTTCACATTTTTACTATTGAGTTCATTTTTATCAAAATGAACAAATCGGTTGGATCTCTAAAAGATTAGCAGGGATTTACATCTCTATCTTTTCTATCCTGCATCGCTCTATTTTCGTGCATTTCGAGACTGGATCTCATATCCAGTAGGTGTAGCTGGGCAGTGCGGTATTTCATTTCTGGGCTCTCCCCAGGAATTGTCATTGTTAATGACTCCTTCCTCTTGATTTTTCTCTGATTCGGAGGATCTTTTGTGATGTGGCTTAGCCTTGCAGAATAATTCTTGATCAGAGCCTCCAAAAATGGAGAATATAACTGCTCGTTGTTCAGGCTTACATTGGCAGAATTAAAAATGCTCCTGACTATATTATAGAATTCATTTGCTTCTTCTTTCTTAAGCTTTTTCATCGGGTTCTCCTCTTCAGATGAATTACTGGAATCAGGGCTTAATATTTTGTTCTTAAAACATTCTGGGATGAATTTGTCATAATCTTCTTTGACAAATTTGGTTGATGGAAATTTACTATGAAGAAGCTATGAATAACACAAGATATGCACCTTATTTATCTATACGAGCAAGCATCTTCTGCTTATCGAATTTGTCATTTCTGATATCTTTAACAACTCTATCAATGCAAGGACTTAAAGAGTAAACCCTTCCGTTATTGCTAAACTGATTCGCTCTATTTTGAACTAGATATTATTGAGCTTGTAATTACCACTTTGAGAAGTTTTTAAGATTCTTTTGGGTTTCTTCAAATTTTCATCAGGAAGCAACTTATTTAGACCTCCTGATGATTTCCTTACATTTTTTAAATAGATTCTGAGATATCTTTAGACTCTTTGTCTTCTTCTTCATCGTGCTTAGGTGTCGATTCTGAACTAAATTAATAGAAAATACTGTATAAATCATTTTTAAGTTTATTTTGATATGAATCGATAATAACCTTATGAAAGTTCGTCTCAGTTAACCTCTCGACTCTGTTGTGAACCTTTGCCACTATTTCTTTGAAGGACTTGCCCTTCTTATGTTTTCTAGATGTTCTGAAATCTAACAATTAACCATTGATTTACCTTTAACTTCTGTCATAAAGGGCTGCTCTCCAGACGGATCTTTCATGGATTTCCTTAGAGATAACGATTTCAAAAATTCATAAATCTTGTCCCTTTCTTCAGGATTATCACTATTTTTCATCCCATTCTTCACAAAATATGTCTTTTTACTATACCACTCCATCAGTACAAATCCAGCCCCAAAATCCCCCAAACCCCCCTCAAAAATCCCCAAATTTCCTCCTAAAAATAATTTTCTTCCAAAATCTTACTTCTGCACAGCATTTTTATTCTTCGAAGGATGAAATGACCTAGTAATCCTCTTACTTCGACAGCTTCAGCCATAAATTTAGGTTTCTGGAGTACAACTTCTGGTCTGGAGCAGCCAAGGCGAGGGTGGAGGGGAACCCAGAGATTGTACCTATCAGTCTTAATAAGCAAAGGCAAGGTGGGAAGGTTAAATTTATGTAAGTCTCAGATAAAGCTAAAACAAATTTATTGGCTTATATGAAGGATGAGAGATATCAGCTTGTATTCTTAAGAAACAAATATTTTGTAATAGAAGGCTTACTTAGAGAACTCCTCTTTTGCCTCTTCGTAATCTATATTGAAGTTTAGATGCTATTAAGAATGTTTAGTGCCAATTACCTTAGTAGATTGTTCTTTACTCTCTCGCATTTCATGCACATTCTGAATTTTTTTAATTTTTCGAATTTTAAGTAGTTTTATATTAAATCTTTCTCTAGCTGTCATTATCGGACAGAGCTTGTGCTTCATTTTCAAACAATTATTCAATTTTTATTCTTTAATAAGGGGTTTTGGGGTTTTGGGGTTTTGGGGG